TTTTTTTTTTTTTTTTTTTTTTTTTTTTTTTTTTTTTTTTTTTTTTTTTCAGCCATTATCTATCGGTATCTATTAGTCATTCAATTAAGCCATTATCTATCGGTATCTATTAGTCATTCAATTAAGCCATTATCTATCGGTATCTATTAGTCATTCAATTAAGCCATTATCTATCGGTATCTATTAGTCATTCAATTAAGCCATTATCTATCGGTATCTATTAGTCATTCAATTAAGCCATTATCTATCGGTATCTATTAGTCATTCAATTAAGCCATTATCTATCGGTATCTATTAGTCATTCAATTAAGCCATTATCTATCGGTATCTATTAGTCATTCAATTAAGCCATTATCTATCGGTATCTATTAGTCATTCAATTAAGCCATTATCTATCGGTATCTATTAGTCATTCAATTAAGCCATTATCTATCGGTATCTATTAGTCATTCAATTAAGCCATTATCTATCGGTATCTATTAGTCATTCAATTAAGCCATTATCTATCGGTATCTATTAGTCATTCAATTAAGCCATTATCTATCGGTATCTATTAGTCATTCAATTAAGCCATTATCTATCGGTATCTATTAGTCATTCAATTAAGCCATTATCTATCGGTATCTATTAGTCATTCAATTAAGCCATTATCTATCGGTATCTATTAGTCATTCAATTAAGCCATTATCTATCGGTATCTATTAGTCATTCAATTAAGCCATTATCTATCGGTATCTATTAGTCATTCAATTAAGCCATTATCTATCGGTATCTATTAGTCATTCAATTAAGCCATTATCTATCGTTATTTATTAGTTATTCAATTCAGCCATTATCTATCGTTATCTATTAGTTATTCAATTAAGCCATTATCTATCGGTATCTATTAGTCATTCAATTAAGCCATTATCTATCGGTATCTATTAGTCATTTAATTAAGCCTTTATTTATCGTTATCTATTAGTTATTAATTTACGTCACCATCTATCGTTATCTATAAGTTATTCAATCAAGCCATTATCTATCGTTATTCCTCTTGTATTCATCTATCCATCAACCCCTTCCTTATCCCCCCAGGAGGACGTCCTCAATCACGACAGCTTCACCTGCAACGACCCCAACCACGGCGCCTCAGTCCCCTTTCCGACCCGACGCGTAGGTAACGAGTACTGCGGGTGGGGTCTGTCCAAGGCCGTCCCTGCTCTGGAGGTGAATAAGACCGAGTGTCCTTACGAGTGCCGTCCTGATGACCACAAGGAGTGGGTGTCCTGTTAAGGAGGGAGAGAAGGAGGTCTGTTCTCTGCTCTGGTTTGGTCTTGGTGTCCTTGGTTTAAGTGGCGTTCCTTTTTTGGGTTGGGTGATGATGGTACTTTTCTGTTTCTGTTTTCTCATTATTATTATTATTATTATTATTATTATTATTGTTATTATTATTATTATTATTATTATTATTATCATCATCATCATTATCGCTATTATTTTTTTAAAGTTTAATAAATTTCCCTAGACGGTTGTAAATTACAGAGCCTCATTACCAGCGAGAATATTAGCAGAATTTGGGCCAAACACGTACTTTGCTAGACCCTGGAGCGTCCGAAGTCTGGGCTGCCATAGGGTTGTTGACAGTGCAGCAAGGTTTGGCTAAAGAAGGTGACAATCCTTGCCTTGAGTTTAATTTCAGCGACAGATAAGGCAAGTGGAACCCTAGTTTATGAGGTTTAAAGGCAGTAGGAAAAAACAACTCTAGTTTAACAGGTTTGAAAATAGAGGGGAAAAACAACCTTAGTTTAAGAGGTATAAAAGTAGTGGGGGAAAAAACAACAACCCTAGTTTAAGTTTATAAGCAGTGGAGAAAAGACAACCCTAGTTTAAGAGATTTTTAAGCAGTGGGATAAACACCCCTAGTTTAAGAGGTTTAAAGTCAGTAGTCATATTTCTTGAGATAGAGATAGACAGTGGTCTTTCTTTTATATTTCTGAAATGAAATACACATCGAAGATCTTTTTTTATATTCTCGCTCAGTTGGATATTTTCGTTCTTTGAATGTTAGTAATGAATTTAGGAAAGTATTTTCTATTGAACCAACTCCTTGGGAAGCTCTGGGATAAGAGATCCACTGTACATTTTCTTTACTGGTTTGATCACTGTTAGCAATAAGGGCGTGGATTACATGCGTTACTAATATTTTTTGGTAAAGAATTTTTACTTACTAAAATATACATTAGATGATGGCAAATTTCAAGTACACATAATTGTTCATTTGAATTGTTCCCTGTCAGCTGCGTAAACCTGTTGCTATATTGTCTAGGATATATTTTAAGTCTCTTAAGAAATTTCAAGTCATGTTGACCTTTTTGTTATGTTTAAGTACCCAACATATGACACCGACAAATAAACTAAAACTAACTACAATATTCTAGATTATTCTACTAAATACCTATAATTCTATTGATACCATACTTAACTCTAATTGTAAAATGACACTACTTCTTATGATGAC